AAACAGATAAATGACTAAGATCATATCTTGGATTCCTAATTAATATGCTTCTTCCTTTTCTTAAATCCTAAAAACAGAAAGCAAAATCTCAGTAAGCTAGAATAGCTCAGCAGGCCACAAACAATGATCAAAATTTCTAAATTATTCTTTTATTAAATATTTTCAAAATATTTAAATATAATATAATAAATCACTGTGTTGAGTAAAGTAATAAGAGCATAACAGTTATCGAAAGATTCAAATAATAATATTGAACATTTAATTAAAATGAAATTTATATTACAGAATTGTTCATATCATAAATTTCTCTAGCCCCAGATAGAATCTCATATGATTCTGGCCCTTTATGACACCCAATAGAATTTATCCCTCATTTAGACAAAATCTTAAAAGATTTTGACACCTTGATTCAAATTCCTGATTACAAACAAAGTCTCAAATAATTCTAACCTCTTATATCCCCTAGTAGACATTTTTTCATATCAAAATTATTAAATATCAGATAATTCAATAGCATAAACACGTACTTCATCACATTGCATCAATTTAAGCAAAATTATGTACATTTCATAATTGTACATTTTTCTATAATGGTAGACAATAAAAAATCCTACTAAGTAAAAATGCATGATTTTAAAGCATAACCAAGTTAGAAAAGATTATGTAAAACATCATTTTAAGACTTTAATCATACTACAACAGCATTTTTTAAAGTCCAGATTATTTTATATTCAATAAAAATAACCTAATTTCTAAAACCTCAAGTGAAAAATTTTCAAAAAATATTCAAAATATTTAAAATATCGATCTCTATAACATATAAAAGGTTATGCGAGAAAAGTTTTTCCAATGCAAAGTTATCATCATTTTTTTGCAACTAAAACAAACATTTAATCAAAAAATTTGAAAAGAAATTCATATTTTTAAAAGTCAAGATAGACATAATGTGATCTACCTTTATCCGGAACTTTTTCACAACTGAGACGATAGCTAAAAATGACCTTAAGAGGCTCAAAAATCCTTTTTGCCTCTCAAAATCCCACTGGTCTCTTTTCTTTGGCCGCCAATGCCGAGCAAAATGAATAGAATTATTGGTTTAATATTATATTTAAGTACATAAAGTGGCCTGGCACTGTAGTGCTAGTTTAAATTTAAAAAATATGAGACTGTAGTGTTGCAATGAGACTATTCAGCACCTAATTGTTACTGCAATACAGTGGTGCTCAAATATCCAACATTGCAGCGCTCTGGAGGGAAATTTCAAATTTTCACAATATGCATTCCAAACCCTTTGAACGCATCCCAAAACACACGTAGACCTTTCTCATATACCAAAATACTTTCAAATGGATTCAAAAAATAAAATTTAAAATATTTTCCTCTTTCAATTCGGGTCAAAATAGGTAGAACCGAACACTCAATATGGAGGTATCATAAATTTGACCCATCATTTTTTTGACACTTTTTCTATATCCGATGATCAGAAAGCATTTGTGCTTAGAGCTTCAACATGAGCCAAAATTTCATAGCAAGTCTCTCCATTCATCATATGTTAATGTTAATAATGTTATACATTTAGTTATTTATGTTTGATTGTTCATACTTTAAACAGTAAACTCATAATGTTGTTAGACATCACATTAATTGTGCGAACCTATTAGAATTATCTTGGAATCATCTTTGAATCATGATCTAAACATCTTCGAACCATGATAAAATTATCTCCAAATCATGATTGATGCATCTTTGAAATTTGATTAACCATCTTCAAATCATGACCAAATTATCTTCGAATTATAATTGAACCCTCTTCATACCATTTTGAACTTTGTTTGAAAAATATTGGAGTATAGTTCATATAAGATTCAATCACGGTTCGAAAATGGCTTCAATCAACTTGAGCAAAGTACATTAAATAATATGTGAGATCTCACTCCCCGTGCAATCAAAGACGACGTTGTATTACTCTAATCATGATTGAGCTATCTTTGAGTCATGATCAAAATATCTTTGAACCATGATTGAAAGATCTTCAACCCATCTTTGAACCATAATAGAACCACCTTTGAATCTTGTTCAAACCTTATATAAACTTTAAAATAGAGAGCCACCTTTGAATCTTGTTCAAACGTCATATAAACTTTAAAATAATGTTCAAATAATATTCCAATATGATTTGCAAAAGGTTCAATTATTCTTAAAAGATATCACCCATGAACTAGAACAAAGCATATTACAAGGTATATGAGATCTCACTCCCAACGTAATCCATTAAACTTTATGAATGACCCCATTTGCACTTCTATGCAGACCTTGCAGGTAACATTGAGCTCTAAAACATTGCAAGAAAATTCACATGATCTATATGAAGCTTGATGCATTGCCTAAGTTGAAGATTTTCAAAAATAAACTCAGACCATTTGAGCTCTGAATTTAACAAGCTTATGGTGAAATTGAATGTCTCAACAAAGCAAACCCGACAACACCAAAGGTGATTCGATTCAATTCCAAATAAGTTGAAGATTTTCAAAAATAAAGTCAGACCATTTGAGCTCTGAATTTACCAAACTTATGGTGAAATTGAATGCCTCAACAAAGCAAACCCAACAACACCAAAGGTGATTCGATTCAATTCCAATGAGTCTAAATAAAGAACTTGAAGTATAATTAGAAACTTTGGAATATTAATGGAAGGAGCAAATGATATCTAACACAGTAATGCTTATAATCAAATCAAGTGTCTCGATGAGATAAACTCAATGAGCATAATATTACTAGATATTGAACTCTTTGAGATACTTAAATGATGAATGCATATTCTATAATCAAATAGTTCATTATGGGTCGTTTGATGGAGTGTTATAGAATTTTTATTATATTTATTAAAATATTATTTAGAAAATATTATAAATGAACCATGATTCTTCAAATGGGGCCATGACTTGAGTTTGCAGAGAGCTTAAAGATTTAAAAAACCCGACCTGTCAACCCATTTTAGCACACCAAGTGAAGGTAACCAATCTTGACTTTGGAGGATCATATGCACCTGACAGCTGAGCATCAAGCTCAAATCCTTTAATTTTTAGAGGATGAAGAATATAGGTCACTATCACAGTATGATAAGCCTTCCATCATAAAATATACAACAAATCAAGGAAACCCAATATGATGCTACTAGTGCACTACCTTGTGATTGTCATTCTACAATTCCTCCAAAAATACCATGTAATTTTTCCACATCATTATTTGAATGTTGTTGCTCAACTAACATTCTCCACGCCATCATCTCCCTCCATTCTTTTTTGAGCAAGCTACACTAAAATTATAAGAGACCAAGCTTCTTCATTACTTTGTTATCACATATTATCTAATCAAGGGAAATAGAAAATCTTTGTATCTTTACATACTTAGCGGATCATTTCATCTTGACTTGGCATCGTGATTTTTTTTTCTTCTCTAGTTTTCATGTAAAAATTTTCCATTTCTTATTCCTCTCTTTTATCTATATGTGTAAGATTTTCGGGTAATGCTAGGACATATAATTTATCTCTATCATTGAAATGTTTTAACATGCAACAAGTTCATATAGTAGTGTTTACTTAGGCTTTGTTTGAGACAACTTTCTTACTGTTTCTTAAAACAATTTTTTATTACAAAAATTAAAAAAATTTGTACTAAAATACTACTTTAAGGAACAATAGGAAAATCGTCTCAAACAAAACCTTAGTTGCTTTAGAAGTCAAGGTAAATCAACAACACGAAAGAACTTTCTCTAAATTCCTTGCAAGTGTATGACTAGCAAGAAGAACAAGGTTCTCAAATCTAATATAAAGTTTAACATTTGACATTTTAACAAAAGCTTATGTGAAGCATTATTATATATCATAATGCTCCAGTTACAAAAATTATGTGATGGCCTTAAAATGTTACATGTAATACTCATAAGAAATTTATCAATAACCTTATATAAGATTAATAATATTATGTAATTTAAAATCATGCCCTTAAGAGATTCCACCAATTATATCTAAACAAATAATCAACCATATATTAACACATTAAAGTAGAACTTCTTAATTTTATATCTCCCCTCACAAATTCTTAATCATTTTGGATGCCAAAAGAGGAGGCGAATTGAATATTTTAAATGAAAATCTATAATTAGAAAGTGTTCAGCCCAAATTTGATTGAGCTAAAAAAGAAACAACATCAATATGTAATCCAAAATTTAGGCTTCTTTTGAGACAACTATCTTACCACTTTTTAAAACAACTTTCTAGTACACAAATTTTAATTTTTATACTAATAAGTATTTTAAAAAATAGCAAAAAAATCATCCCAAACGAAGCCTTAGTCGTCTTACCAATTGCAATCTTGTAATAGTATACTGAGAATGAAAATTTGTTTGGGACAACTTTCTTACTGTTTTTTCATGTAATTTTTTAGTACAATTTTTTAAAAGTAAACATTTTTGCACTAAAAATTTACTTTAAAAAACAATAAAAAAAAACCGCCGCAAATGAAACCTAAGATGGTCATGTAGTTAGACGTTTTTGCATCCCTTGAAATAGCACAAGTTGAGTTAGATCCATCATTTTGATGCCTACGGAGCACTCTCCCATTTAACATGAGATGAAATTATATGATAAATATGAGACTTCAAAGGCATGGTATTTTTGCCATTGAGGTATGAGATATTTCATATAGGGCTCATTTACTTGTTTCTAAAGAGAACATGATTTGAACAAAGATCCCTGTTTTTTCTACACTTCATATGAAAATAATATTAATAAAATCTTTACATTCCAATATATTTCATAAGATTTCTTCTAAGTTCAAAAGTAATGTAGAAACCTAACAGCATAGAAACTTCAAACAACCAACGAACCTTCTATAAGAAAGATCCCAAGCAGCAATGGCAAAAATGCCTTTCCTTTGAAAGCAGATCCATACAAGACAAAGGGAAAAAAATAAGAACAGAAGAAACATTTGCTAATGCGTTTCAGAAACTAGATATATAATTCAAAAATGTAAGTAGGTAAGCTGAGGCTAAACCAGTTATAGTGAATAAGAATGAAAGGAATAAGCTTTGAAATTGTTTTTTATTTGTCTTTGTACAACTCCAACAAAAGCAGGCAATACATGAAAACACTACAGAAAACCTTTTTAGAGCTTTCAAATGTAAGCCATCACGTCTCCTATATGATTCAACATCCCTGAGAGCAATTAAATATCCATTCCTTCGAAATCACCAAGCCACAATTGATCAGGCCAGACAAATACCTGCAATAATGCTCTTGCATGGGCATAATTTTTTTCTATATAAAGGATTGTTTGATGTAAATACATGAGACCTACCGATGACTATCGAATCCAGAGATTTGGATTCAGTCAATTTCTCCTTCTTCGACATCAGGCATACTACTTGGCTCGTCACATTCTTCTTCCTCGTCGTCATCAGCTTTCATGTACAGACCGAGCTGCTCCAAGGGATTACTTCCGCCAAGCTTAAAATCATCTATGCCCTCAGTGGAGAGATCGGGAATCCCCTCATTAGCGGAGCCAGGTAAGTGTTTCCCAGGAGCAGTTCTAAGCATTTCCAGATCTTTCAAAAATAAGTTTCCTTCATTGATCTCCACCGTCTTCTCCATCTGTTAAACATGCGTAGTAAAGATTGACCGACCCTCTAAAATGAGAGTAATTATTATGTGCGGATGCCGAACTCCGTCCAGAGTCCAATGAAAATGCGCCACGTCACTTGATACTGCTCGGTATTGAGTGATGTGACGCATTTTTGTTGGACTCCGGAGTCCGGTATCCGAACATAAATTTTTTTTTTCTGAAATGGAAGAACTTGGGGGATAAAATAATGCACTGACCTGCAACAGAGCTTGGCGTGCAGCCTCTCTCTCCAGTTCTCGCTTCCGTTTTGCTTCGGCAGCGGCTTCTTCCTCAGCTCGCCTGCGAGCATCCTCGGCAGCCTTGGCTTCTGCTTGCAGCCTTGCTCTCTCTGTACAGAAAATAACAATCTTTGACAAGATGAAAGGAGGAAACTATTCATACTATAAATGAAATGTATGCATACCCTCACGCTGTTGCCTCTCGAGTTCCTCTCTCTCCCTTCTCAATTTTTCAGGATCCTTCTTTTCACCCTGCTCTCAAAATCTTTCTGGTTATACAAAGACAATCTAGGCTTCGTTTGGGACGGTTTTTTTATTGCTTTTTAAAGCAGTTTCCTAGTACAAAAATTAAATTTTTTTTACTAGAAAGCTGCCTTAAGAAGCAGAAAGAAAGCCGTCCCAAACGAAGCCTTAGTGATGAAAATGCAGCGAGTTTCTGTAACCAACCTGGTCAAGGGTCTTCTCGCGAGCTTTAAGGATTGTATCGGCAAAGCGACTCCTCAATAAAGCTGCACGGTAGAGCTTGTCTGGGGAGACCTGCCTCTCAGATGGAGCATTCTCCCCTAAAGTATTTGGAATAGAAGCATACTAAGTATGTCAAATATTAAGACCATGAGAGGCCTCACAATTCTCCCCTCAGTGTTTTAAAGAGCTTACCCTCTTGACTAATAGTAGACTTGGCAAATTCATTTTTAAGACGGGTACCACCCTGTTCACGTTGCACAGCACTTACATGCCCTGGAAGAAATAATAGAACAGGAACACAAACTTGTCATGTTTTAGAGCAATGGCGTTGCAGAGTTTATATGGCAAAGTTAACAATGAGAAGAAAAGCCCATCAAGAATGAATGGCAAAGAATATTAAAAAGGCTGAACAATTATCATGAAGATGATGACTATAATGAAAATACTTTAAAAGTAGTTGTAAAAAAGCTAAGATGTTTAAGAGGTAGCAATGCTAAGCACGCTAATGATTAGCAGACAAAAAAAAAATATAATGCCACCTTTTCCTGGGCTTGGAGCTATCTGAGGGCCCTTTCCCTAATCAAAGAAGAAAAAGAAATATGCGAAATTAGTAAAATGCGGAATACGTAGTCAACATCAGAATGAGAAGATTAGAGCAGATAATGAATTCAAAAAGTGGAAATATCAAGAAAAATATTGTAAATTGAACAAGATACCTTGGTCGAATTTGGAGAGCTAGAAGCATTAATATTTGATCGACTTCGAGAAGTACTACCTGAGTCCGAGTCTGCATAATATCAAAAAAAAAAAAAATAAGAGACATAAAAAAGTTAGAAAGTATAACGTAGGTGTTGAAAAAAAAACAACAAAACATAGTAGCATATCTCAAAATAATAAAAAGAACAAGATCTCCATAAAATCAATAAAATAAAACGGTAGGGGCAATTAGGTAAGTATACTCTCATCGCATGCCCATCCTCTCCTAAAGTTATTGTAATGATAAAATTCCAGGTTGCTAAAGTTAGATCCTTGAGCTGATAGTGAGACAATATTGCCCCCATGAATAAAAGTGAACTTAATAGGGTATCCTATCTTCTAAGGCATGCACATTCTAAACTTTAGATGTAGAGAACCTGTCTACCTCCTATTATTATGGAGAATTTCTAATGAGTTAATTTCAGATGTTGTAGATGTTGTAGTTTGTGATGAAGAGATGGTTGTGACAAATCCTCAAGAAAATAAGACTACCTTCGGTAGTCATGTTAAGGTGTAACCCACAAATTAAAATTATAAAGAGGAACGAGAGAGATCCACCGTGATTTTTTTGACATATCTTAAATAGTTATAGTTAGATTATTACTTTATGAATTAAATATATAATCGAAAGGATATAATTGAATCCACTATAACTGATTACAACTTGACTGGGATGCAATATATGCTACATGTTTCCCAAATCTAGCATAAAAATAGTCATTCTTTTAAGTTGTTACAGCCCTTTCAAAGTTTTGACTATGACTTTACCTGGGGAGTAGGAGTTTAATAAGGGGTTGTATATGGAGTTAGAATTCATTAAAAATTTCTTATGAAATTTCACATATATGATTGAAGACTTAAAAAAATAGTGGCAAATGAGGTTGTCATAGATAAGTAGAAAAATCATGTGAAGTAGGAGCTTCCCAATTGCAACAATGAACCTAATCTGGACTTACTTCCCTTGAAACTGACATAATAACAAATGACTGAGGGAAGGAGTTGCCCAACATCAATCATGTCTATGATGTTGACATAAAAATTCTTTTGAGGCTGTAGCTAGGGTTACCCCTAGTCTAAACTTTCTTCCAACGAAATTGATACATCAATGAATGGCAAAAGCATGGCTAATTTATAAGTTTCTAAAGAGGTCATTTTGGTTATGATGATCATAGATAAGTAGTGGCAAATGAGGTTGTCATAGATAAGTAGAAAAATCATGTGAAGTAGGAGCTTCCCAATTGCAACAATGAACCTAATCTGGACTTACTTCCCTGGAAACTGACATAATAACAAATGACTGAGGGAAGGAGTTGCCCAACATCAATCATGTCTATGATGTTGACATAAAAATTCTTTTGAGGCTGTAGCTAGGGTTACCCCTAGTCTAAACTTTCTTCCAACGAAATTGATACATCAATGAATAGCAAAAGCATGGCTAATTTATAAGTTTCTAAATGATCATAGATAAGTAGTGGCAAATGAGGTTGTCATAGATAAGTAGAAAAATCATGTGAAGTAGGAGCTTCCCAATTGCAACAATGAACCTAATCTGGACTTACTTCCCTTGAAACTGACATAATAACAAATGACTGAGGGAAGGAGTTGCCCAACATCAATCATGTCTATGATGTTGACATAAAAATTCTTTTGAGGCTGTAGCTAGGGTTACCCCTAGTCTAAACTTTCTTCCAACGAAATTGATACATCAATGAATGGCAAAAGCATGGCTAATTTATAAGTTTCTAAAGAGGTCATTTTGGTTATGATGATCATAGATAAGTAGTGGCAAATGAGGTTGTCATAGATAAGTAGAAAAATCATGTGAAGTAGGAGCTTCCCAATTGCAACAATGAACCTAATCTGGACTTACTTCCCTTGAAACTGACATAATAACAAATGACTGAGGGAAGGAGTTGCCCAACATCAATCATGTCTATGATGTTGACATAAAAATTCTTTTGAGGCTGTAGCTAGGGTTACCCCTAGTCTAAACTTTCTTCCAACGAAATATATATATATATATATATATATAGGTTGAAAAGAAACCCTACTACTTCAACTTAGGGCCCCACCAGACATCACACATCAACAACTACTATTGTAAAAAATAACTTTTCACCTCAAACTTTTGAAAAGAAGCAAAAGAAAGCAATAGTAAAATGAAACTGTAGTTGCAGTTTGAAAAGCAATGCAATAAGAAAACAGTCTCAAACATACCCTTAGTTGCAGGTATCTAAGTTTTCAATCTCTTAATAGAAATGTATAAGTTTATCTATAAGGATACTTCTAAAAAGAATATAAAGGTTTCTAATAAATTGATTAAAAATATACCTCTACGTAACCAAATGTTATGCTCTAAAGTTGAAGCTTGTTTATAATTTGTAATCTTAGAACTATTACGTATTCAAAATATTAAATATTGTCTTCCTAGAACATTGCTACTCGTTAATGATGTAATGATAAAAATTTGATGTAATGCCATTTAATTGTCTATAAAATGCTTTTTCAAGTAAGTCAATTAATAACAAGCATGATGAGATGGAAGTTACAAGCTTCGGGAGGACTTGCTACCTAAAAACATGCTCAAGAAGGTTACTTCAACACCTTCAAGCAAGGTTACTTAGTTTAATGTAAACAATATTCATTGTAAATTAATTGAGCCAAATTCTACTAAGAACTTAAAAGATGATGAACACACATAAGGATTTCATTTTAGCCATATTTATTATAAATTCAATTTTAATTATTAAAAAAAAAATCACATTTCACTATGAATTTTGACTATTAATTTGACTTCATTTACTATTTATTTGATTCATTATCATAATATATTTATGTGAATTGATTCATTAATCATATAGTAGTGATAATTTGCTTAAGCTCATATTTACAAGATATCTAATGCCTTAAGCAAATTTATGTGATCCTTTTTCTACTAAATCCATTAAATTTGCTAAATATAACTTTATATGTCAATCAATGATTAATTCTAATTTTTACAACATGTATTTATCATATTTCTGCAAATGACTTCAGAACCGTATTGTACTTAATTATTATTCCATTGAATTTATAACATTGTCCAAATACATTCTGGGATGCAATATCATATAATTAGCACATAAATTCATTAAATTGCTAAATACATACAACTTTCACCTTTCAGCGAAAATGACACGAACAGCAAGATTAGAGAGCCACTGGAGATTCTTTTGCCATTTTTTCCCAGTTTTGGTAGGAAATTAAAGGCATTATTTAGAGGATTCCTAGTGCTATATATACCAGCAATATTGAGATGAAAAACAACATGGAATAAGGCTTAGAGAGTTTAAAGTCTACAACACTTAGAAGAAGGAAGAACCAAGGGTTCATCATCTAAAAAAAATCTTGAATTCTTTTCTAAATATTTCTAGTGGTGATTCATTTATTGATTCGCATATTCTTATGGTGATTCATGTGTTGAGTGCTTCACATGTAGCTGTTAGTAGATATACTTATTTGTGCTTATTAGTTATTATTAGTTATTCTACTCATCCTTATCCTTGTATATCTATGTGATTATCATCTTCACTGTGTAAACACTTAGTGTGACTTGATTTTTGATGAATTAAGAGATCATACGCGTCTGTGGTTAAAAGGATTAATTTCAGTGTCCTTAATATTAAACACTCAAAATTAATATTATTTCACGCACATACATCATTAAACACTTAGTTGCATTTGTAAGATTGATTTACTTGTTTACAAGCTTGCACCACATGGTGCAAAATAATTTTTACAATGCTTGAAAACTGCAATATTAGCATTACTCTCTTGTGCACCACCACGCACCAACATTTTATGATTCTTCATTTAATTTGACTGATCATATTTTGCATTCTTAATAGGATTGGGTTGAAAAGAATTTTGCAAGAAATTCAAAATTGCCATCATGCACCTAATTCTTCCCCTTTGGAGTGCCAAATTCAGTATCAGTTCCTAGTTCTCACTTAGAACTTGTTTCAGTTTGCATAGAGGTTCAGTTAGACTAAGAATAATTTAAAGTTATCACAAACGTTCTCTCATATAACGAAGACTTCAATAAAAATTTTCAGGAAACAAAAAGTTAAACAATATAGAACTTTTACAAGGTTAAGATTGGCCTTCACGTACATATTTCACAATGATTTAATAAACATCACCAGCCAAAATGTACAACCAACCAGGCCGCATCACAACTCAATGCAGCAAAAAGATGATAATCTCTACTACCGAGGAAAAAGATGGTTTAGCAAACCAATCAGCATATGCATACATGCCCGCCTACCTATGAAATAAAATCCATTTAACGAACTGGAGACATGACACGCCATTTGGGCAGAACAAATAAAGAGCCAAGTTACAAAGGGAAAACATCAGATCATTCGCAAACATAAATCTGGCTGGACACTTAATAGAATAGCTCGCCACTTAATTCCTAAGAACATTTTTCAACACCACCAAGCATAGTTCTCGAATTCATCAACCCATCATCACAAATCAGACGAGGGTTAATCCAATCATCTAAATTAAAACTTAATCTCAGGAGCTTGAAGCAAGCCCTATAAGAAGACTAAACATGAAACAAAATCACTTAAACAAGCCAAATGTTAGGGGAAATGCAACAGTTAGCAATTACTAAATAATCAAAATCATCGATAATATCTATTTTTACTTAACATAAGAGCAATGCGATAAAACAAAGATTTTAGACTACTCACACGTAAAATCTATATTTCTATTATAAAAGTGACTTCTCCTCATATGAAATCCTAGTCTTCCATTTCTATTAAAAAAAATCTCAACCATTTATCTCATCTCTAGTCTTCTATTTCTAAAAAACTATTCATATTCCTTTTCCCCCATTCGGCTTCTTCTATTTAATAACCTCTCCGCCTCACATTTAGTCTATAATATTCATTTTCTCTATCTTTAAAACCCCTTCAAATTCCCAGTTCGGCTTCTTCTTCCATTTAATAACATCTCCACCTCATTTAACACCTGCTATAACATTTCTCTATTTTTAAAACCCTTCAAATTCCTTCACCTCCAACTGCTGCCTACATACATCTTTAATCTCTAGATATTGTTGGTTTCTAATGTCAAAAATACATTCGCTCCTATCCACAAAAGTCCATTTTACATCGGGCATCTCTTCAACTTCATTTTTTTATGCTCCACTTCCCGCCTATCATCTCTATATTTAGATGATCCTCACCTTCGCATACCTCTCCATCTTTTATCTATCCAGATTCATTATTTCTATTATCCTTCTTTTTATCATATATTTAATCTAAATTTGTTTTGTTACTGGTTTTAACCAAGGGTTTTGTCAGACAACGAGCATCATTTCGAGCCAAAGGTAAGTGTGGTGATTCTAAGACATCCTCACCAAGAAAGAGAGATTTGCAATAATGAATATGTAATTCAGAAAAAAATGCCACGGGAGGTTTGCAATTTTAGATTAAACCGATGTTCCTGATGGACAAAGAAATTTTCTTTTGTTTGTTGGAACATTTTGCTGATTTCCTTTTGAAATATTGTGCAATTTATTATAATCTTGCCAGCATGTTCACTTTTTATCTTCGTTTCTAATTCCGTTTTGTTCAGAATAGGAAGCTGATGTTGGATTTTTATTTTTCTTAATAGTTGTTTCTTTCCAAATAATTGTTCACAATTATGTGCACATGGGTTTGGAAATATTGTACCATGTTTTGTGAAGTAGTCTTGTGCCTAACTTCTAAATTATTTTGCCCACTCAGTATTTTGAATGTAAGGGTTTGGTATTGATGTTGTAGCAGAAACATCATTCAAACATATACAGTAATATATATATATATATATATATAAGTAAAAAAATAATAAAATATATATGCCTATAAATTCTAATTCAAATTTTATTTAAAAAATAATAATATTATTTTAGTATAATACTACTATGGTACATGTTAATTTTTTATTTTCATAATAATATTTCTTAATTTTTTTCATTTAACAGCATGCACTTCGTTCACATGCAATTGAATTAGTCTAAGCAAATGGATGGAATAAATGATAAATGGAATTTGGCCATAAATCAAGACAATAATGCTCATATCAGAAAAAACTTGAACGAAATATGGTTGCTATTATTCATGATCATACAGATGACTGCAAAACCTGGAGTTCTAACGCATTGCAATAAAGTATATTGATAGAGTTTCAGACCAAAAAAACATGTAGCAGCAGTTTCAATCTATGCCTCTAAAATTAGGCTACAAATCAATCTATGAGCTTTACCCAACCATATTATTCTCAGATTTTCAATATGTTCAATATAACAAGTTTTTGTTTAATACTCCCCTAAACAAAATAAAGAGATAATTAATCCTGCACTTAAAGAGACAAGCAAAATATTCACCAAAAACAAGAGGAAAAAAATCCCTAGTTTATGTTCACACGAGATCAACATAACCACTGTTTACATTATAGAGTAATTTATTTAATGTTCTCAGCAGAATAAGGTAGGATTTTTCACCGATTTATGAACAAATGAAATTAACTTCAATCATTTTTGACACAGATAGCCACACACAGGAAGGAATAGAAATATAAATATACTCATTCAAGCACAAATAGATGCACTCATGCACACCCATGAGAGGAAAGAGTGCAGACAAACAAATTCAGGCATACTTCTTTACTTCTATAATTAAATGGTAGATCTTTAATTAAACGGTGAATGGCTTTTCTCAGAAATCAACATCAGCATTGCTGCCAATGAATAGTATTGGTAAACAATCTATATAACAAAGAAGTTTTGCACTCATCACTCAACTTCCTTCAGCCAATATCACGAAACATAAAAATTTAATATAAATACGGTAAAAGTATAAATGTAGTGTAAAAGATAATAATTAGAATAAAGATGAAACTTGCATGTTTAACTACAATGTCTTACTGTTAGAAAAAAGGCACTAGAGCAATACCACTTAAAAAAAATGAGAGAACTTATCAGCAAAAGAAAGTAGATATAAATAAAGCACAAACCACTGGAAGATGATCCAGATTCGCTGCTGGAACTACTTGAACTACTACCCCTGTTACTTCTTGGGGCTGCATTATTAACTCCGTCAACAGGAAAGTAGCTTGTCGTGGGAGGATCATTACCACCAATATCAACGTCCTCATCCTCATCTACGGGTTCATTTCCTGAAAACATATCGGTAAGAACAAAGGATCTCAAGATTCCATTGCTGCAGTAAAAGACATAGCCTTGATTTTCAAGAAAAGGGCAAACCTTTGCAAGGATGCATTGAGGAATTGCTGAGTCCAGATTCATTCAGAATCTGCAAGGAAATATAAAAACTCTGGTAACAAATGCAAAATGAATGTGAACATGCAAATAATGCAACCCTACAAAAATACTACCTCCACTTCACAAGGCTCGGTTTTTGCTTGATTTTCTGAATGATTTTGTTTTGAGTAGTCATCCAATAGTTTCTTCAATTCAAATAAGGTGTCAGAGCTAAGAGAATCAAAATCAATTTCTATTTCATCCTCTGCACTCTCATTTGCATTGTCAGTATGCCGCTTCAGGAAATCAACGATGTGTTGTGGTAGCTCAGGAATCAAAGATAAACGCCTACTTAGACTCAGTTTCTCTTCATCTGTCATTTGTACCTTACTATCTAGCACAACAGTGTTATGGCCCTCCTGATGAATTTTCCTCTTCTTAGATTGTTGCACTGGCTTGGTAGTTACTGTTTCTCTTTTTATAGCACCATCAGCAGCAACCAGCTTCTTCTCAATAGGCTTCCATCTCATTTCAAAGAACTTGCTCATGGCATCAGCCATGAAATGCACATCATTACCAGGTGGATTGTACGTAGTTGCATTGGAGAATGTAAGCCTCACATCAGATGCAAACTCCATAGGAGCGGTGTAGAAACCTGACGCTAAATTGGATTGAATAGTCCCAAGATCCATGGGTCGTTTGATAACAGTGAAATAATCTGGAATATTCAACTTCACCACATCAACAGGTTTATTAAAAACCCAAGCATACTGATGTCCCAACAGGCGTTTGAGAAGTGCTTCACATTGCTTCATCAATACAGTAACGGATGTTGGTACTACGTTCGAGAAGTGCTTCACTTGCTTAGTAGTAGACTCAAACCTACCAGTTGCACTACGTTTCAACTGGGAAGCATTCTGAATCGCAAGATCATGCTTCTTCACAAGTGGGTCACAGGATGAAGAAACTGAAGCTCCATTTGACATTAATGCGGTGCTTGAAAGTATTTTCTTCTGAAATTTTTGAACCTGCTCAAGCTCCCTCCTAAGCCTTATTTCCAAATCCTTTCGTTCAGTGCTTGACATATTTGACAGTGCGATAACTTGCATGGGAACGAAGAAACCATCGCACCTGTCTGCATTCAAGCTTATACACCTTCTCTTTGGCGTGCAAGGGTCTTCGGATCCAACTTGCCCAAGGCCAGTAAATCCTTCAGATTCACCAACAGCCTCTACTGCATGCCTGTAGTCCGGGACAAACCCTGAAGTGTACCCTCTAGGAAACTTATGCGCTTTTTCCATCAATGTTAGTGAAAGATCTCCAGAATCCTTCTTCGACACCTTACTCCGGGACCAAGAGCACTCTTTGGCAACAGTCTGAGTCATTAAGATATTATACAAATCCCTATTCACAATTCAGCCACTCCAGGATTACTGCAACAATAAACCTCCTCCAATGCTAACAACAAGTCTTCAACCCGCAAAAGCTAAACAATACTGTAAATTTCTTAAAAATAATTCCTGTAATATTCCCACGCTGAAAAAATAAATGCCTTCAGCCTTCAAAAAATAGGTAGAGATGCGCCCTGCAGCACATGCATCAAGACACAAAATTAACCAGCTTTCTAATCGGGATCTGAGTAACTCGCAAGAATCTAGATGCCAATCTCAAAATCCCTTACAGATAATCACGAAAATCCTAAACTTCTAACCAGCTCCCCCATCAACCACGCATCCAACATTAGCATTCAATGTAAACCACTAACCGACAGAAGGAACCATAAGAATAGTGTAAGCAACAAACAAACCCTACCCGAACCTTTCTTCCTAGCAAGAACCGTTTTCTTCAACTATCAACCAATACGAAGGAATCAACACTGCGGACGAAAACAAATCCGATTTCCACTTGCGCCTCGCCGCAGAAATTAAAACCCTAAACCGGAGAGGAACGAAAGGCTGGAGCCATATTTCGGAGGGGGCGAAATAAACCGAGAAATAGCGCCTTATAAATGCCCCCGAAATCAGAAACAGAACCTGAATCCCAAGATCACGGGCTGCCTTGCGCTGCTTCTCCCACAAAAAACCCTAGCGTCGAAGGAACTTCCTACCGCGAATTTCTCGTTAGTTACCTCGACTTTCGCTCTCTCCACGGCCGCGATCGCACGACTAACTCTTGCCACAGATTTGGCGTCGTAGACGGCTCGAGCCGAGGAGTCGACGACTTCTAAGGGGTCTCGGTTTATTTATAGAAAGAGATCTACATCATGCATTGATCGATCTTAGCCGTTGAAATTATTGGACGGCCGATGATTTCCGAGCTTCAGCGCGTGCTTTAATACAAAACACACCGCCACTAATTCATTCACGCAATTGGATTGTAATATATACGCAATATTATATATATATAATATTATGTATGTATATTAAATTATTAATCCATTATATATAAATTTACATACATACCACTTTATAACATCTTATTTACATATCTAACACCTAAAACTTTAATATTACATGCATACTACCCTGTATTATTTTAATATCAAATATACCATTTATATTTCTTTCCTACCACTCATATATTTCATTTCTACCACTCATATTGATATGAAAATGAACTATGGGTGGTATTTATGTAATATTAAGGTTTTAGATGTTAAATATGTAAATATAATAGTATTAAGTGGTATGTATGTAAATCTCCCTTTATATTATCCAATATTTTCTTATTCCAACTCCTTTGATGACTATAATAATTGAGATTTATGTCTAAAATTGTCCAAAATTTTATCACTTATACATAAAAATAGAGAAAATTTTATACAAATGGGTAAAAAAATGTTTTAATTGAAACACCCGAAAAGAAAAAATTTTCATTCTCGCCTTGCTTAAACAAATCTACTAATAAGTGTTTGAATTTATAAATATATGTTTTTTTTCTTTCTAATAATTAGAAATGTTGGTGGAACAATAAAAGAATTTTGATTACTGAATATTATGTTCTAATGTGGTGGTCGGCGTATTTAATGTCAATAATGATGAGAGGCATTAGACGTCAATTGGCAATGTTAGTGAAGGGTGACACAAATGCAAAAGTTGGGCATTGGCTGAGATCAATCGGGTATAGATTAGATGGCATTGGTTGAGTGTTGTTCGTTGTTGTGGGCCAATGAGCGACGGGCGTTATCAACCGGTGATAGGGAGCACTAGAAAGTTATATGTTGATGGATGTTAATTAGTTGTAGGTATCGACGAATAATGGTTAGCAGACGTCAGTTTCGTGGCTCCATAAGCATTGATAAAGGGTGATGGTGAGTGTTGAGCATTGAATATTGGTGAATGTTGGTAGACATCCAATGTGTGGGTTGATAGCCTACGACATATGGGCAGCATGAAATATAAAAAAATATATATATTATGAGAAAAACAAAAGTTGACTTGATCATTCCAACGATAAGGAATATTAAACACATGGGTTATATTTTTTGAGAAACATTAGGAGGGAATGAATGCAGTATCATAAAAGATAAGCCAAACCCTTTTCAAGCTCAAAATCAAAGCAAATGATGCATTTATCTTTTGAATGTTTAGTAAAACAATACATCATGCTAATTTGAAACTTATAAGAGAAGACTATTCAAAGGATCAAAAGATAAAATATGAATCCATATCTATGTCTCCTAGCTAGTATGAAGAAGACTATATGAGATTTGTTTTACTTTGAGATTCAAATTTCCCATAAGGGCTTACATTCTAGGAGAATATGTCCTATGAAATCTTTGGATTAAAATTGTTGCATGTATTATAATATTAAAAATAGAATTATCACTAAAGGAAAGACAAATGTTTCTAGCGGACGAATCCACCGCAAAAACAAGCAAAATCCGTTGCTAAAGGTCTCCAATGGATTTGTGGCAGAATCTAATCTGAATCCAAAAGGCTCGTCGGAAATTCATTTGCGTCCAACAAAATCCCCCGCAAATATTTTGCGGCGGATTTACAATGGATTTTGAGTTCCATAAAACAATATTTTTGTTACAATTATCTGTCGGAAATTCCACCGTAAATTGTGACAAATTTGCAAATCAACCACAACTAAGAATTGTGATCATAAAGCATCATTATTCCTCTTATCTCTCATTCTTATACATCATCACGATCTTTCTGAAGCATTAAAATACTTCAAACAATATACAAATTGAGTTATACACCTTGCGGAAAAATTCTAAATCATCTTGTCCACCTATAATGATCAATTAATGAAAAAAATTATAACTTCTTATTCACATCCAATTAACCTAAAATAATCATCATTAGTTACCTAATATCCAAAATATCTAATGTGGATATTTTTAGCCCTTCTCCATCAAATAAAACTTAGCCTTTTAATGTCATAAAATTGTAGCCAAAAAATTGTCCAAGTCTTATATTATTCAACATTTTCCCTTAACCTTATCATTATTTTTGTAGATTACATAAATCATATATCTTTTTAAGCATACTTTATAGATATGGTATCGAACATTATTAGTCTTTTTCTTGTATCTAATTATTTCCTACATTGTCCTTAGGCTTTTCTATATTCTACGGCATTCTTCTAAGCATATACATCTACTTGTTTTGTTTATATGGACAATATCATTCTTATAGGTAGCTCCTCTTATAGAATTAAATAAAAGAAGGATGTACAAGAGGTTTTCAAGGTGAACAAAACCTCGTCGAATCGAATCAGGCGAAGTCGAAGATTAGCCAAGCCCCGAAGACGTCGTGAAGCAGGCAAAGTCGAAGAGCAATAAGCAGGTCAATGTGAACAATCGAACCGAGAGGTCGAACGTGTACGATCGAACCGAGAGAAGTGAAAGCGATGAACCGGCCCAACGGAGGCGAAGGCAATGAACGATCAAACCAAGAGAGGCCAAGGTGACGAATCGACCATGCAGAGGCGAAGGCGAAGAGTTCGAGCAACGAGCTGAAGGAGGCAAACTTGAAGAGCAACGAACAGACGGGGATGAGGCTGTGGAATTGAAGAGGAACAAAAGAAAGAGGAGCGAAGTTTAATAACATTGAAAGAGCAAATGAAATGAATGCAAAACGAGCCAGTTAAATAAAGCCAGGTTGCGACGAATTTACGGCAACAATTTCCACCGCAAATTTATGGCAAAAATTCCGCTGCATAAGCCATCTAAAATTTTCAACAAAATTTTTTGTTGCAAATCCGTCGATATTTTTTACGCCTATTATTCCTCCATAAAATTCGCTAAAAATAGCTGACTTTTTCTATAGTGTATAATTAGTAAACTTTAAGAGTTTCAAAGGATATAATATGCGGTTCAAGTAAACCTTTTAAAAAGAAAAAAAAAAAAGAAAAAAAAAAGGAACAACCCTTAACATTCAAGATCTTCAAATACCTTCTATGTTTACTAATTGTGATTTAGAAATACATTTATGTTCAAGTTCCTCATTTTATTTGAGTTGAGACTAAAATTCATCTATTCGGTAACAATATTATTATACATAGCATTAGCTTATAACCTATAAATATAATGTAATACAAATAAGGGTTTAATATTTTAAGAGATTTTAGGGTAGGTTTATTAATATAATTATAATAATTATTTAACTAAATTTAATTTTATTTTAAATTTTAATGTTCATTATCCTTAATATATATTTAAGTGAAGCAAATGCTCAATCATGCAATCAAATACCTAAATACACACACACACACTAAATTGTTGTTTGGACTATTTTACTTTGCCTTATTGAAATGCATAGATTGATCATTTGCAAACCCATCTTTTGGCTACAAAGTCTCGAAGCACTTAATAGAATAACAAATCATTTACATAGTTAATGAATACATCTTTAATTTGTAGAAGAGTAAAAAAAAACTTGTTTGCATTTAAGAAGAGAAAAAAAAAGAATGTAACAGGAAATAAATTATAAATTTAATGACCATATGTTCCAATGTCATAGTAAGTGCATAGAGTAAGTATGCATTGTCATGAATTATTGATCTCTGAAGGAGGAGATTATCATTAATTAGAGGTGATACATCCTCAAAAAATTATCTTGATCGAGCATGAATCTCGATGCAAGATCAAGTTGGAAACTTCCGAAGTTAAAATTGGAACCATCCAAACTCCGATTCCAGCAAACTTACAATCGGAATGAATGTCTTGGAAATATGAACCCAACGACACCAAATTCGACTCAATCCGAGCCCAAATGAGTCCAAATCAAGGACCCGAAGCGTTGTTGGAAGATTCGAACCACAATTTGGATCGCCAAACGGTTTCCAAACAATACGTGCTTATAGTCGAATTGAGCGACTTGACGAGATGAATCCAACGAGTCCAAGATCACCAAAATCCGACATCATTAAGACATTCAAATGCCGATCAAACGGTCCATGATCAAGGGATTCAACATCGGCCGTCCATCCAACCACTCCTCATTTACCCTTGATCTCTCACCTATTTACGGGTCAAGCCATTCTAGAAATCTATAAACAGACCTCTCATTCCTCTTGAAAAGGGGGACCAGAGCAAGAAGAGAAGAAGGAAGAAGAGAATGAAGAAAAGGAAGAAGCTCTTCCTCGACCACCGTCGGGCTTCCGCGGGACCACCACTTGAGGCCCTGACCACCGCCTGACGTCGTTGTTCCGCTGGACCACCACTTGAGGCCCTCTCCTCCGCCGGACCACCACTTGAGGTCCTCACCTCCACCGGACCACCGCCTGACGTTGTTGTTCCGCAGGACCACCACTTGAGGCCCTCACCTCCGTTGGACCACCACTTGAGGCCCTCACCTCCGTTGGACCACCACTTGAGGCCCTCACCTCCGTCGGATCACCGCCTAACTTTGTTGCTTCGCTAGACTACCATTGGAGACCCTCACCTCTGTCGAATCACCACTTGAGGCCCTCACCTCCGCCAGACCACCGCCTGATGTGTGGCTCAGCCGGACCACCACCTGGGGCCCGGACTTCTGCCAAACCACCACTTGAGGCCCAGACTTCCACCAGACCACCACTTGAGGCCTTGAGCTCCACCATACCACCACTTGATGCCCAGAGTTCTCCCAAAATACTACCCTTCAACTACGATCTTTCTGACCCCGATCTCCTGCCGACTACGGTCCTTCTGACCTCCTGTAAAACCCTCTGAAGTGCATTTTTTTAGTGCAGTTAGTCCGTACGAACTGACTTTAG